TTTTTTCTTGCTTAAAATTACCATAAAAGGAAAATTTTTAACAAAACGGACGCGATCAGGAGAGAGTTTTTTTTAAGCAAGATTTATTTTAATATTTAATAATATAATATAATATATAATTAAATAATCATAAAAAAAAAACTCTTTTTCACTTCCCTTTCTATACTTGAAAATTTCTTTTTTAGAAAACTTTTGAGTTGTTTACTTTCTTTGTTCTTCTCTTATTTCTTTTACTTTCCTTTTTATATATTTTTTTTTCTCCTTCTTTTTCTTCTATAAAACTCTTTTTAATTTATTCCCTTTTCCTTTCTTTTTTTATCTTTCCTTTTTATGTTTTTCAAAAAAATATTGATTATAAAATATTTTATTAATATAATAATTTATTATTATTATTATTTTTATTTTTTAAAAATAAAAAACATAGCAGCATATAATTTTATTAAGTAATTTATATATACTGTATATATATTTCTATAAGATTTATTTAAGTTAACTTATTTCTTTATTAATATTAAATCTAATAATATAATATATATTCTTAAAGTAGATTTATATTTTTTAAAAAGATTTATTTAAAAGATAAAAATCCTATTACTAGTTTTAAACTATTTACTCTACTGATCTAACTTGTATTTGAATAGATATAATGTGTAATAAAATTTTTTGAAATTTTATTTATATAACATAAAAGTAAATAATTTTTTTAAAACAAAAGCAATTTATGTAAAATTTTAAATATATAAACAATATATCTTGACAATATACAGTATATATATCATTAAATTTCTCAACTTGTTTTATTATTTTTATAAACTTATACTTTACAATGTTATTTTTGAAAAACTCATACAATGTCAACTATATTACATTTGTAGAAGAATAGAATTACTTCTGCAAATAAAATATTTTTTTTTTCCTTTTTTTTTTTTTCTGTCTCTAATCAGACTGCAAAAGTACTTCTGCAAATAAAATATATTATAGAACTGGCATAACTATGACAACTATTTATTATAATTTTAAAAAATTAAATTTAAAAGGAAATAATTCAAGAAAATCTAATGGAGGTCAGTCTAAAAAGATTACTGCATATGAATCAAAAGCAATTGGTCAATATTTATGCTATAATTCAAGACTTTCTACAAGAACTTTGGCAATTAAATTGTTAAATATAGATATTAAAGTATCTTATATAACAATTTCAAGTTATATAATAAGCTTGGATTATAAAAATAATCTATCTTTAGAAACTCCTATATTTACTACTGCTTATAAAGAAGCTTGTATTATTTGAGCAAAAAAATATCTTGATAATAATTGAAAAAAGACTTTATTTTCTGATGAAACAGCATTTCAACTATTTAAAAATATAATTACTTAATGGTATAAAAATACAAGACCAGTCAGAAGAATATTTAAAGTTCATACCAAAATTTTTACATAGGGAGGATTTTGTATAAAAGAAAAAACTTCTCTTTTTTTGTTTTAAATAAATTATAATTACAAAATTTTATATCAATATTTTGCAAAAAATAAATTATAAATTATTGAATTGTTTGAAAATAATTTTTATTTTCAACATGTCAATAATTAAAAACATATAAGTAAAATTATTAAAACATTTGTTAATAAAAATTTTTCTAAAATTATAGATTGGCCTTCTAATAATTCAGACTTAAATTCTATTGAAAATTTTTGAACTATTGTTAAAAGAAATATAAAATTAAGAATGCTTAAAAATATTTTAGAATTAAAACAGTTTATGATAGAAGAATAGAACAAAGTTCCAAATAAGATTTTAAATAATTTTATAAATTCAATGAAAGAAAGATATGAAATAATAATTGAAAAAGAAGGTAAAAGAATTAATTATTAATTTTATATTAATAAAATCTCTAGATTTTTAGCTTTATTTTAATATATTTTTTATTAATTTTTATATACTAGTTTTTAAGTAATGAATAAATAAAAAATTTCAAAAAGTTTTATTATACACTGTATATTTATAAACCTGATTCAAGATATTTAAGTTTTCTTTACTTAATTAGATTAGAACTAATTACAAAAGAAGAAGTTGTTAATTGAAATTAGTTAGAATAAAGTATAATTTTATTTGTATATTTAAACATATTATATTTTTGCTTATCAATAATTATAGTAATATTAATTAGTAGGGTTTCAAATTAAATACTAAAATAATATTGACTTAATACTGAAATGATAATATTAGAAATTCTATTAACTAGACAATTATTATACTATTATATCTTTTGTGAAGATTACAATTTTAATACTTGCTAAATTAATATATAAATCAACTTCTTATAAAAAACAATATATTATAAATTATAATACCAGATATTATATTAATTCTATTGAACTATTTTCATATAACATTAAATTGATATTTTGTGATCTAATCTATAAAATATTAATTATTGTATTATAAATTTTCAAAACATTCATATTTAATATTTATAATAATATCAATTATATTATAATAAATATAATAATAATAATATTGTATTCTATATTACTTTGTTTATAAAACAATAATGTTGGACTAATTAAATAATTTAAGTTTGTGACTTATTTAAAATAATAACCAGTTAAAAATAATAGTCAATATTATTATTTATATAAATTCATTTTATAAATTATTTATCAGTTATATTTAATAGAAAAGAATTATTATAATACTATTTTCTTTTAATAAATATAAACTTTTTTTATATATTTTATAATAAAAAAATTTATTCTTTTATTTATAGATAGATAGTTTCTTCTGTTTTTCTTTTAGGTTTTATAAAACATATTTATTTTAATGCAAACTAGTATTTATAGCAATATATTTTGATATATTGTTTATTGTTATAAATTTTATATTTAGTTACTTTTGTAAACAGTTATCAATAATAAAAAATTATAGTTTGAGAAGTACCTTGCAAAAAAAAAAAAAAAAAATGTTTTTTTTTAATTTTATTAACAGTTTTAAAACAAATTTTAAATTTTAAAATATATTTAAATATATTTTAATTAATATATTACAATATACAACTTATATTTATTTATTTTTTATAATCACAAATACTTTTATTCAATATGACTATTACTTTTTCAATTTTATTTTTACAATAATTTTTATTTTATTTAACCTTTTATTTTCTAATTTAAATAAATATTTATAATTGCTTGACATCATGTAATAAAATATATTGTTTAAAATATTGATTATTTTGTTTTTGTAGAAAAGTTAACATTTAACTTATTATATCTTATATTATATAAATCAAATAAAGAATATGATGTTTATCTATTAAAATAAATAAAAGAAATACTATTAATATACATGTTATATACATATATTGTATATTATTTTAAGAATTTAATAATTTCATCATGTATAGCAATACTTGATAAAAATATACAAATGATTATATTTACTTTACAAAACTTTGTTTAATAATAATATTCCATTAACAATAAAGTTTAATTTAAAATGGTTGATATATTCAAAACCTAACCAAAAGAAAATATGTTATATACAAATCCATTTTCATTTGTTAAGTTATAATTGTTTTAAAAGGTTGAATATCATCATATTAAATATCTACAAGATTCGGTGAATTCCTCATTGACACAACAAAATAAAGCAAGAAACCCATTCCTACTCATGTCGAAGGAAACGCCCATTCATTTCAAAAAGCCAAAACTGCACGCGCCATAAAACAAAATCAAGCCAAATGAACTTCAACTCCGATCTTTTTCTCATATTTAGCCTCCCACTTAGCAACCTTCCAATCTTCTTCATCTTTAAGTGTAATCATATCTCCAACTCCATTTTTATAAGACATGCGTTCAGTGTTAAGCTGAAGATGAAAGCGACTTGAGATCACATTTAGTAATGACTTAAGTGTAATGTCACGAGGAACAACTACAGCTCCACGCTCGACAAAAAGAACAAAAGTTACATATATCTGACGAAACAATAAATATTAGTGAGTAAATGCGTTTGATAAACAACTATGAATTTGGAAAGTTTGAAAAAAAATCAACCAACCTCATCGGATGAATCAGGTTGAGAGTTCTATCACAAACAAGAATATTATTGACAAGTAGTACTTAATAGAGGATTTAAAATTCGAGATCAAGAATTACCCTAGGATAACTCACTTAACTCACTTGTGTGTCATTCATTAAAAGGTGACTCTGCTTCTCTACTCTATATCTCGCAATTCCGGCTTCAATATCAACCAAATTGTTTAAATTAACATAATTTAAAGGTATGAATATTAAAGAATTTGCACCCTCTAATAACCCGTTGGTCGGATCTCCTTTGATTTCAACACCGTTGGAGTAGTACTATAGTTGTGTGTATGAAGAAGAACATTTATAAAGGTCTAATAGAAAATATCAATGATAAAAACAATGAAGGTGAAATAATACTCACCGACCTTTCGAAATTATCCAATAATAGGATCTCCATTATTTTGTATTCAGTGATTCTAAAACCGACTACCTAAGATTTGAATTAACCATAGATACAATTAAATTTTAATGAATAAAATCAATCATCGTACCTGATGAAGTGGAATAGAAACTATATCCTTCCTTTCATTCAAACACAAACAGATATCCCGATTGTTATGTCTTAATATTACAGAAAGTTTTGCGTCTGTATTCATATTCAAATTTGCATCGGTAGGAATAATTTCAATTTTTTTCAAGTCAACGCGAAAATCATTTTTCCTGTTTCTGCGGTTAAGGTCTACTGACGGCAAGGATCCTGATAACATGAATCAATTAATTGGATCAAGTTCAACGGGAGAAAGATAAAACTGATCTTAATTGAAGACGTTTGATGAATGTAACCTGAACGGGCAATTGAATAAGTCAAAGTATAACTTGATTTATCTTCCATTGTTTATATTACCCCAAGTATTATGTACTAAAAGTAATTCAATATGATTCAAAATTGATGTCCGATTTTAATGATCGTTTCCACATGCAGGCTATTAGTAACGGGAAATTAATCTTGATGATCCGTCTATTCTTCAAAATGACATTCCGGGTACGTACACTCCCCTGCCATTAATCACCGGACGTCAATCAGTTTTTGATATGATCGGCGAACGCAAGAAATCATTAAAAAAATTTTTTTGTGCCATTATTGATGACACATTGTATAAAATTTACATTGTCGAGATGAACAAAAGCTGGGCTTTTAAAAGAGATATTTTTTTTTACATTTGTGCTTGAAATTCTTTTGCAATGGCACAAAAACGTAAAGAGTTATCAGAAAGCAAACATTTTCAGATAATAGGTGCTTGGAAATGTGGTTCTTCACCTTCTGCCATTGTAAAAACATTTAATATATCAAAATCGATGGTTCATGATGTTATTAACTATTACAAAAAAACTGATCAAGTAAAGCCTCCCACTCGAAAAGGACAACCGGCTAAACTAACTGACTGCGATACCCACCATTTATTACAAATTATTAAAAAAGATCGAAAAATTACACTAAGTGTTTTATGCAATAAATTTATACAATCAACATCAACTGAAGTCAGCATACATATGTTGCAACGAAAGTTACACAAAATAGGCTATTACACTCGAGTTGGCAAGCAAAAACCATTTGTTAAAGAAAAAAATAGATTCATTCGTAAAAATTGGGTAATCGAATGGTTAAATTGGACTTCTAAGTGGAATTCTATTATTTGAAGTGATGAATCTCGCTTTGAAGTATTTGGAGGTGACAGTCATAGCTACATTTGGCAATTATTGAAAAAGAAATATGATATAGATTGCCTTGTGCCAACTTTTAAATTGGATAGAAGAGGGGTTATGGTTTGGAAATGTTTCACCACAAGTGGCTTAGGTCCATTAGTGAAAATTAGTGAATGTCAAACTGCAAAAAATTATATAGAAGTTTTTAATAATAGTTTATTACCATTCTTAAAAATCCTTTCAGAACAAAATAATTATATATTTCAAGATGACAACTGTCCAACATATCAAGCACATATTATAATAAAATGGAAAGAAGAAAAAAATATTATTTGTATTCCATAGCCCTTCCAAAGTCTGGATCTCAATCTCATTGAACATCTTTGGGATGAGTTAGAATGTCGAGTCCATAGGAGAAATCTGTTACCATCTAGTGAAGAAGAATTATTTACTTTTTTGTTAGAAGAGTGATTTTGGATAAATGAATTAATTTATTGCAATTTAATAGAAAGTATACCTCATTATGTTGAGGCTGTTAAAACTTAAAATGGCAATTTCATGAAATATTAAGTATACAAATAAATAAAACACATGTTTAGTGTCTAAATAAAATTTTTTTCAATTAAAAATTATGCGAGTTTTCTAGAAATATAAAAAAAAAAAAATTTCGTACCTTTGCTGATTACTTCCAAATTTAATAAATATCTGGTGATTAATGGCAGGGAAGTGTACGTATCATAAGTGATGCATGATTTTGCTGCAAGATCACATGGGCAAATAAAAATGCCATGTTTACTCCTATTCTGTTATTTTTGGAGTCTCACTTTTTTTTGTTTATTTCTCCAGTTATCAACTACACATGACAAAAAAAAAAATCATTAGTTCAATATGGCGTGCTCCCATATCCAACTAATTAACGAAGACAAGGAAAATATTCTTGCATATATTGAAGACATGAGTGTTGAACAAGTTGCAAAGAAAATAGAATATGCTTCCTTGACAATAAGATGGTTTATAGTCAAATACAAGAGAACTGGAAAAATAGAAAATCTTTCACGATCTGAAAAAAAACCATTCCTTTCTGACAAAGAAAAAAAAGTCCTTATTCAAGAAGTTATCAAGAAATGTCGCAAGCCATTAAAAGATATTATCAATAGTTTAGAGTTTACTTGCAGTTTAACAACTGCTGTCAGGATGTTGCACAACATGGGAATTTATTTTCACATGGTAGTGAAAAAGCTATTTATATCAGAAGCTAACAGAATTGCATAAAAAAATTGATATGAAAAACATAAAAATAAAAGTATATATTATTGGTGGTGTGTTATTTTTTTAGACAAAACCAGTATGAAAATTGAAAAATAATCATGCCAGATTAAAGTATGGTGTTATGACAATGAAAGATACAATCTTAAGTATTTGACATCAAGTTTTAAAAGTAATAAACATTCATTAATGATCTGGAGATGTTTTGTAAAAGAAATGAAGAGCCCATTAATATTTTTTGATGAATATAAAGAAAAAAAGAAAAAATCAGAGCAAAAACTTAAAGATTTTAAAAAACAAATTTGTATCATTTTTTAGTATAGTATGTTTATGTACTGAGGTGTTTTATCAGTAAAGTAGATAGTTATAATCTTTATTGTTTTGTTCTAATATTGGATCTGTAAGGTTTAGGAATCAAAATTTCACTTGGTTCTCATCTTTTGAAACTAATCAATTCCCAAAAGAAGAGTTTCTTCTTGAGATTCAATATTATTAGGGTTTAAATTAGTGTTTCAATAGGACAATGAACTGATCTATATAGCAAAAAGTGTTGCAAATTGGTTCATAGAAGAAAAAATTGAAACAATGGTTTGGCTAGTTTCGTTTTCTAATTTAAATCCAATTGAAAATATTTGAAGATTGCTGAAAAATAATATTTAAAAACATGAATATTTTCTATATAACACAGAAGAGCTTAAAATTGCTCTAAAGGAGAAGTGGTTGAAATTTAATGTATTAACTTTGTGAGACATTATAAACTCATTGTCACAAAAAATCAAAGCTATATTGACAGCAAATGAAGGTCGACCAAATATTAGATGAATCAATAGAATTTTTTTAAATATGTATATAAATTTTCAATTTTTTTGAAAATTGTATTATTTATAATATCTATTGTATATAAGAAATCTGTTTACCTGAATATAATATGAAACTTATTAAGATTCATAGAAATATAATTTATCAATAGAACTATTTAAAATCTTTTCTTTTAAATGTTTCAATATAATTCTTACAAGTCAAATTAAACTTAAAAATAAAAATATAATTTAAATATTTCTCATCAATAAAAAAGTTTTTTTAAAAAAAAAACAAAAAAAAAAACTATTTATAAAGATTTTTATAGTTTAAATTATTTAATTCAAGTATTTTTTTTAATTATATTTTTATTAAGTAAATAAATATTATTGCTTTATTTTTTTATTTTTTTTTGAAGAAACAGGCAGTCTTTGTGCTTTATTTTTATTTATAATTTTAAACTTGTGAACTATAAGATTTATAACTTAATAGCATAATATGCATCTCTCTTTGCTAAAAAGAGTTTAATATCAGGTTTAAAAAATAACACTCTGTCTAAGCTCCTTGATACTGTTGGCGTGAAAATCCGGCGAGTCGGTTGTTTGAGCTTGCCTCACGCCATGTAACAATAGGGCGGGTCTTCTTCTCAAAAGAGGCGTGTGAATTTGGTCTGAGCTGTTAGATAATGACACAGATCTACCAATAGATCCAGCGTCACAAGGGGGTTGTAACAGGTGTAGCAATCCCAC